CCTAAAAGGGAAAACCGGGAATCTGATGATGGAAACTCAGCAAAATCAGTCAATTCCACTAAGCAGCAGAGACCAGCCCTTTCTGAGCCAGCAGATGACAGCCAGCCCAATGAAGATTCACCAGCTATCTCAAGAGACCAGTGGCTATGATATCACTTTTCCCAGTAATGTTATTCCTAGCTATTCACTGTGTGCTTTGTCAAATAAAGTTGCTTCATACTGTGAAGTTGCATATATTCTGCTAATATAACATCTTTATACAGAGGAAATGCTGCCCAAACTGACCTAGAGAGGGAGTTGTTATACCCAACGCCTGCTGTTATGTGGAAATCACTGCTCTGTGAGCATTTGCTGCCTGAGGTTGGCACAGCCACATATTGCATGTTCTAGATATGCCTCAATTCTTACCCTGTGCCAGTAAATTTATTACTTTGTACCAGTCAGTAACATCCAGGCATAAATGGCAAAATCTATCTCTCTGAAATACAATTAGAAATTGGCTAGAGAAGCATGTGAACAAACAAACAAACCAAAACCAAAACCAGTAGGCAAAATCATGGTTTATAAAAGTTTTACCTAAAAGGTGACTAAAAACAAGAGTTGAAAAATTATCATGTTTCTAAAAGAAAATTATTATACATACATATTCTTGTATGTATCCTTGATTGCCATTGAAAGATGAAGCGCCTAGGACCCTAAATATTTTAACCAGAGTAAAATTAAATTTGTGAAGCATCAGTCTCCTAACTCACACACATATATATATTGCTTCCACAAAAAGCCTAACTTATTAAGGAGAGAGAACATACTTCTGGTCATCTTCTGCGATATGATTCAAGTAAAAAGTTATTGTATACTTTCTACAGCTATCTATTTCATATAACAAAACACATTAAACACTAGTTGGGAAATTAAAGCTTTTTTTTTTTACTCAGGTTTGTGCTATCTACAGGACAATTGTGAAACAAGCTGACAGTAAAGAAATTCTTCAAAACAGTTTACTATTACACTCTCTGAATGGATATGGTTGAATATATTTGAAATAGACAGGGTTGAGGTTTTCTTCATTTTGATTTTCTGATTAACTTCAACTGACTTTGAAATTACAGTCACATAGTCACTATGCTGAATTCTTTCTCTAAATTTTTTTCAGAGCCTGGTAAATAGCAATGATTAAAGCTTAAAAATGAGAGCATATGAGATATAAATGCAAAAATCACCATATCTATAGTAGAAAGTGTCTTAAACCCCTTTATTTTTAAGAGAGATTTCCCCAAGTAGGATATATTTTGTACTTACTCTCTTTCCTTCTGTAAGATTTTCTTAATCTCAGCCAAATGCAAATGTAAGACTGAAACATGTATTAAGTCATTCTCAGTTGTCTTAGCTGTAGTGTCCAAAGTTTTTTTAGCTTCCTCCAAATAGATACTGGGAAGTCCATCAGGGAAGAAATCAGGGGACTTTGGAGTGAATTTTTTATTGTGATTGCTCTGGACTTTATTTACCTCCACATCCTGAGAAAACAAAAATATGGCATCTGAGAAAAACATAAATGAAAGGGAAAGTCTGAGATAATTCCTGCAGGGCCTACCAAGGCTTTTCTAGACAGTGAAGTCACATAGGAAGAAAAAGTTGAATCACTGTAATTTTGTGACATCTCACACCTTCTGTTATGACTTCATATCAAAAATATTTCTAATGTGTCTTTATTAAAGAAATAGATTTCATTTATCATTTGTTGGCTATAACTATGGTGAAGACAGAATCCTGGAACTAATAAAACCCAGAATGCAAGTTATGTATATAAACAATATATTAAGAAATTCTACTTTATGAACTCTTTAACTTTTAATGTAAATTGTGTTGAAGCAGGCAATAGGATCATACAAGTTTTTCATAAGGAGCAAAGTATATAAATATCTATTTTGAAGGCAAATGTTTCACATGAAAAAATGAGCAAAACTAACAGCAACTAGGAAAAATAACTAAAAAATAAAAAACATAATCAGTAGGATGATTTAATGTCTCTTATAAACAAGTTTCTTTTATAAATGTTATTGTTTTACCACTTCTGATGAACGGTGTTTAAAAGCTAATGTCATTTTAGCAGATTACTGACAGTTCTATTTCATACCACTGTTCTTTTGAGTTTTTATAATAATGCTCAAAATTTACATCACAAAATACTAGAAACCACTGATTCACACTCACATATAAAGTTTCAGTTTTTAAGTAGAAATTACTTTATGTTAAAGAGAAATAGTTAAAATATGTTTAGTGTTATTTCCTTCATGTGGCACATTTGTCTGCCCAAAAATATAAAAGGCAAGCATTTTTTGGCAAAATTTATTCTCCATACTAACATTATATTTTTTTTCAGATTTCACAGGAATTTATTACAATTTATATGCATTAGAGAGTGAATGAAAATTCTGAACAGAACATATTCAGATCTAAAATCCCAACGATTTCCCTTGAAGTAAAAAATTTCCTATGTACTACAATATAGGGAGAACCATTTTTCTGCAATGTATGAAAAAATTACCTATATCTACAATGGCTACTATCTATCAGATAACAAATACATTTTTGACATGATGCTGTCTATGAAGATTATACAGTGCATGCCAAGGCACAGAATTAAAGGTGGTGAAACATGCAAAAGTAGTTCCATTTTTGATGGACATAACTGGATCTTTTGTAGAACTGGGAGCTGATTAAACAATGCCTGATTGTTTAATCCTATGTCAGGATTTAGTTGCCCTCCTTATCAAAGAAAAATTCTTGCAAATTTGCAAAAAACTTTGCCTCATCTATTCCCATATTTCTGAAGTTCAGAGAGAATTAAATGGTTTTATTTTAAAAGCTAAGAATCTAGTTTGCTTTTTTTTGGAGGGGGAAAGAAAAAGTGAGTACACAGAACATGATGAATTCAGATAACAGAGGTAACCTATTACCTTAAAACATGAGAGTCAGAGCAATACTGTAAGTTATTGGATAGAATAGTCTGCCTCTGCTACTTAAATGTTTAGTCATAGTGCATGGGTATGAATTATTTTCTGTATTTCTCTATATTAGGAATATTTAGATGGGTGAAGAAAAATGGTTTTGCTAGCGAATGGATGAGGCAGCATTTTGGTCAAAATGCTTGAAAAATTCCATATTCTGCTGCTGCTTCATGAACTAAAAAAAGATTCTCCATTCTTTACCTTCTTTGTGTCTTCTGCCCCAGGAATTTTGATGATTTTGCTCAGTTCTTTCACAGGTTCTGGTTCCAGAAATGTTAACATGTTTCGGTCTTTTTTACCATAATATATTTCTGAGCAACTGCATTCTGTTTTCCAAGCAGTTCCATTTTCTAAGTTTTCCTTCTCACTTATTAAATTTTGATTTATTTTTTTAAGCATACTTATTTCTTTTATGGCACTGTCTAATTTGATTCTCAGTTGTCTTGCTTCCTCTCGGGCTTTATTTCTTTCTCCTCTAACTTTGCTCCATTTCTCCCGCCAGTTAGCAGTACAATCTGACCACCAGCGCATGGTCTTCTCCATTTGGGCAGCTCTGGCTTTAACTTCTTCCAATTCCTGAACTTTTACTGCTTCAAAAATTTCCCAATCACTGCTGTAGTTCATATGCATATATGTATAATGAGATGAACATGGGTAGAAACTTTGAGATGGCAGATTTGAATTACATAGATGGTCGCCTGGTTGGCAATCTCCATCTAATTTATAAGGTTGTCTCGGTTGGGTCCCAAAAATGTGTGTCTCTTCCATTTGTTTCTGAATGGAGCCCAAGTTCGTGTTTTGATTCATCATCTAATTTCACTTCTAAAAAAGACAAAGACAGAGAATAATTTAGCTTTACTCAATTAGATTGTATGAATAACCTCCAACAAAATGGGCTTTTTACTGCTATAATAATGGGTTAATTTTAATAATGCTGTTCATGTTTTAGAAATGTGCTTAATCAACAAGAACCAGCTATTAAAATATCTTTTATGTATACTTTTCTAGTACAGCATAAACAGGAATACCTATTACTTGGCTAGGAACTGCTAGCAAAGGAAGCATCATTAAACATAGTTCTGTCAAAAATTTTTTGAGTCTAAAGAAACCAGACAAAAGCTTTTGTCCTTCAAGACAAGATTAAATTGAATCAATATATATTTTACATATATAGTAAGAGGAGATTATTTGCCTAGAACTGCAATCACAATTCATTTCCTTTCTTCCCCAAACTGTGGAATTTCATACTAGGAAAACTTACCCTGTGATTTGCATACTTAAGGAAAAAATGTGATCAACCACCCCCCAGCCTTTGCATTTTCTTTGTTTCATGAGAAAAATCAAGCTTTTTTACAGGGGGTTTTATTTTGTTGTCTACATTACAGAAGATGTACAGGCAGCATATTCTTACAATATTCTTGAAAGTGTAGTGCTATCCTACTGTACTGTATGGCCTTCCTCTTGATGATATGACTCTGCTAGTAAATCTTATTGCTTTCCTATTCATTATTTATCTTTTCATTATTTATTGCTCATTTGGCTAGAGGAAAAAAAAAGTATCTCAGAAATTTCTTTCCTACACCTGTGCTGAGAAAATGCTGATGTGGACAGTCTGTAGAGACTAATCACACCTCCCTGAGTTTTTTCTTCTTGTTTATATTAAAACCAAAATAAACCCACAAAGCAAACAAAATACAAACAAATAAATAAACCTAAAAATCTTGCTATTTCAATAGAAGACCAAGTTATTTAAAGTAGAAAAGAAATTTTTCTTATATTCCAATATCCATGTGCAAAAAACATCAGGTTTATCTTTTACTGTAATTAGTATTAACACCTGCATTTGAAATGTAGAAGGCCAATGCTCCAAACAAAATTCTGAAGAGAAGTTTTGCCATTCAGCCATGTTTCACTTCAGCTGAATAGATGTTTTTGCAGGTTGTGTTCCAGTTTTCCAGCTGTTTTCAACTTTTCCAAGATTTCCAGGACATTTATTTACCATTTGTTAGAAGCTAATGGAGAACTGTTGTAGTGAAGTATGGATATGAGAGAAGGAAAAGGACAGTAAAACATTCCAAATTCCCTTCAGCACCAACCCCCAGAGCAACTCTACACAGATGTTACGCAGCTGCTGCCAAAGTTTCATCAAGGTTAAGTCTTTTTTATGTTTCTTGACCTACTTCCAGTAACTTAATTTGAATATGCCTTATCCAAAATACAAAGATATTACCACCCACAATTTTGTATGAGGCTCAGTAGAGCTAAAATAACTACACATTAAACTCTTGCAATAAGCTTTTAATTTAACTTTTGGGTTGTGATAAAGCCTTTGTTTCCTAAAGCTTTAATGAAAAAAAAAAAAATTAAAGTAAATTTTATATATATAATAATATATATAAATATATTACATAATATAATAAATATATAATGAAATTGTTGAAACTTTTGAGGTTTTAAATTTTATCTTTTTTTTTTTCTGTACCAAACTATCTATATCTACAGAAATGTTTATTGCACTCTTCATAATCAGTAGATTTTTTAATGGATCTTGTTAGCAGCTTTGTGTATTCACTAAAAGAAGGGAGACCTTGGGGAATACCCAGTTTAAAAATATTTGGAGAGATAAGAATGGAAATGTTTTTCTGTGGTTGAAACTCTGAAAGACCTGAGAAATCTTCATGAATCAGAATATCTTCGTGCTGTGGTTTCATTATGGGTGTGAAGAAACTTCACTGTAACCCACTGAAAAAAAGAGTCACTGGTCATGAATTCTTGCTCTTCTCCGCTGTGATGGCTCAAGTGCTATCAAGACAGGGGCACTGCCAGTCAGATCAAATTTACAGGTATAATATTTGAAGCAGGCTTGTACAAGCTGTATTGTGTATTGTGTTCAGTTCTGGGTCCCTTAGTTCAGAAAGGATATTGAGGTGCTGGAGCGGGTCCAGAGAAGAGCAACAAGGCTGGTGAAGGGACTGGAGCATAAGTCCTATGGGGAGAGGCTGAGGGAGCTGGGGTTGTTTAGCCTGGAGAAGAGGAGGCTCAGAGGTGACCTCATCACTGTCTATAACTACCTGAAGGGAAGTTCTAACCAGGTGGGGGTTGGTCTCTTCTCTCAGGCACTCAGCAGTAGGACAAGGGGGCACGGGCTTAAGCTCCGCCAGGGGAAATTTAAGTTGGATATCAGGAGAAAATTCTTTACAGAGAGAGTAATCAGGCATTGGAATGGGCTGCCCAGAGAGGTGGTGGATTCACCATCCCTGGAGATTTTTAAACACAGATTGGACATGGCACTGAGTGCCATGATCTAGTAAATGGACTGGATTTGGACCAAGGGTTGGACTCGATGATCTCGGAGGTCTTTTCCAACCCAATCGATTCTATGATTCTAAGCTACTAGTCTCTTAGCCTTCTAATAGTTTGAACTTTGACTGCACTTTTCATCATGGATAGATGATTCCAACTCCATACCTAAAATTAAAAAAAAAAAAAAGAATTAAAATAAGTTGCTCCTCCTCCAGAAAACGGAAGTACTGGCTCAGTCCAAGGTGATAAGGAAAATCAGATGTTTCTAGGAGTCTTAACTTCCCTATGTGCTTTTCAGAAAATCTAATCCAAACTGTTTTGTAGCAATCCTCCTTAAGATTACTAGAGGTAATTTAAGTGGTTGGCTGACTCAGGATTAAAACATAAAATAATAGAAATATTGTTTGTAACAGGAATTTTCTTACAACTATGAATTATTAAGATTTGTGCTCATATCTATTTTTAAAGAAGTAGTCTAAAATATCTTTCTTGAAAGAAAGAAAATATTTAGAAATCAGAAAAATGTGTTAATCTTTCCAAAAGTTCTGAAATGGTCAAAAATCTCACTGTTCCAAGGGGATGATTAGAATATATTTTTTATTATATTTTATTTGCACTTCATATCGATTTGCTCTTCATGTTCTTAAAAAATATTGCACTATTCAATAATATGTAAAAGTAGTCCAGCTAACCGAAGACTGTTGTAATACTGAATCAGTTGATACTGAATCTTTAATCATCCCTGTAGTTATCATGATATTTTAAAAAAACTCCTTCTCTTCTCTGGTCAGCTCACAGAAAAGTATTTCATTGTAAAACTTCATATATCTACATTGAACTCAGAAAGGTCTCATCTATAAAATATCCATATATGTTCCAGGGGAGAACAAGAATAATTTCTGACTTGTATGATAAAGATAATTAAAAGACGAAAGTTATATGTTAATGTTATTAGACAAAGATGTCTAAACATCAGAAATTCCATGAGTCTGAAAACTGACAAAAAGAAACCTGTGTGCAGCTAGTTTTAAAGTTGTTAGCTTGAGTTTGCAGCACCAGACTAGCTAGCACAACATATGGAGCTCAGTGAGCTTAATTACTTAATAAAAGCTAATTGGATGGAAAGACAAGATAAAGTTAAAGAATTGGATGAAAGTGGGGGTTTTCTCTTCAGTAAAACTTTCTGAGTTCCATTTTTAACAATTGAAGGATAAATTCCCTTTTAGAGTAGTTTTTCTTAACTGAATAATTTAAAATAAGTGTGAACAAAATACAGGAAGCAACATTCCTTGTACCATGTGAGCGGAGTGGGGACTGTGTGAGAGTGTTGATAGTTCTCACAGAAAAAAAAAGACAAACATTTGTTGAACAAGATAAGGAACATAATTCTAAACCACATTTCATTGTATTGAAACCTCTCCTTATTTATTTAATGATTCTGAACACCAGTAAGAAAAAGAAGGGCTCTTGATTTATTATTGCCAGCTATTGTTATAGGCAAACAGAAGCATATTAACCATTGGTAACACAGTTAACAAAATCACCATGAAACAAAAGTATTAGTGCACTTTCCCCATATTAATACCTGCTCAATGAACTCAGTTTTTTCAGTTAGTTCAGTAGCTAGGGCAGCAGCTTGAGGATAATTTTTCAACACCCTTTTACAAATTGCATGACCTAACCCTTAGTTACGTCTCTTAATTATTAAGATCTCAGCCAAAATTTTTTTAAAGGTATTCTGTCTTTAAAGAAAATGTCTGCTTCAGAGTGAGCCAGTTAGTTTTCATTTGTCTAATCTATAAATTTAATAGGACAAAATGAAATGTAGACACTGTATGTGTTCTTTTTTAATTGCTACTAGAAAGTCAGAACTTTCCATAGTATTGCTGCAGTTCACCATTCAATCAAAAAGCCTGACAAAGGCTTAGAGAAAATGGCCAGGGATGGCAGGGTCATTATGGAAAACAAAGGGAGTGAGAGTCAGTCAAAAAGCTTGGCTCTTTACTAAGGGCTGCTAACTACCAAGCTATCAATTCAAGAAAAGGAGATCAAATTATGCATGGCTGTTCCTGCTGTAAAGTTGGTTTTAATTAGCAACCCTTAAGGGTTCCAACCAGTGGCTAGAGAATGGGATGAAAAAATATTGCTAAGTGACTGAAATTTATGGCAGAAAAAACCCATCACACTGGAAAGTGATTTATGATATAGCTCAATCTAAGAACGTATCCATAAAAATGTATCTAGTTACCAAATCCCTAAAAATCCTGGCAACACATAATCCAGTGGCTGATCATTTGTGTAGAAAAATTTTACACGGAACTTTGAGGCAGAATGACTACCTGTTTACAGGAATGGCTTAGACACACAGGGATTTAGGATTCATTTCAACAGGCTATCAAGGTCATTTCAATAGGAAAGAATACCCAGTAGCAAAAGTTCTGGCAAAACAAATTGTATACTCGTGTCATTTTTTGTCAATGGTACATTACAAGCATTCTACCAACTTCAAGGAAGGAAAGTTAATCTGGGAAACTTCTCTTGTGTATTACATTGATCCTTTAGAACAAACACCTGGATGGTGGAAACACATCCTTAAAGGAGCAGAAATAGTGGTGTATGGAATGTGTTCCCTGCCCAAGCTACCACTGGTCTCACAACTGTTACTGCTTTAAGCCAGTGCTTTGCTACTTTTCCCTTATCCAGAGAAACACAATCTTATAATGAAAAACATTTTAAGAATAAAGTAGGACAAGTTTGGTGTTTCAAATGTTGTACAATGGATTTTCTGCCTACTGTATCAACCTCAAAAGAACATGACAGTAGACAGACGGAATGAACTACTAAACCAGCAGCTGCACAAGAATGAATCTGTTAATACTGTATGTGGAGATCCTATCTGTGAGAACGTCTAGGATGGCTACACAAGTGACAAACCCCCACAAGAAGAACCATAGATAAGGGATTCATATCAGTAGCTGCTCAAATTCTTGTTCAAACAGAAGTAAAACTCTCTTGAAATCTGTAAAATGATATTGCAGTTAAACATCCGCCTCAAGGGTTATCTGTATGCCTCTCCTTTCACAATGAAAAAGGGAACAAGTTAACTACAACTGAGGTTTGGATTATGTCCAAGATCTCACTGTCCTTACCACATCACCATGACAACACTGTTAATTGGAACATGTACCCAAAAATTGTCTCTAATAGATCCTACCTTTTAACATTGCCCATGGCACAGCTCAGGTACCGTAGATCAGTCATAACTCAACTTCAAAACCAGTTACAGAAGGAATATCATCTGCAACACCACAAGGGTGAGTATTGACTGTAGGTAATAATATTACATTAATCCTAAATTCTAAAGTTAACCTGAATTTAACTATATATGGTAACACTGGACATGAAGCTGTATGTGGCTGTGACAACAACAGAGTGAAATGGGCACTACTGGCATGTAAGGCAAGTAATCATGCACTAGTGGACCATAAAAATTATGGCAACTGTTCACAATGAGAAAACAATACATGTCAATTTTTTCATAAACATTCCGAAAAATCGCTGTGCAAGTCAATGTAAATGGACAAAATTAAGCTACCATCTGTTCCTGATTATGCAATCTTAAAAAACAGTCCTTAATAAAAGTTCCTTTCACCTAATGCAATTGTATGATGGACAAGAGCCTATGATTATGGTTCCAAAATTAATGACAATGATCGTACATTGAACATTACCAATGTATACACTCCTATATGGCAGAAAACTAGTACTGAAAACAGTGACCATCTCTGTGGTGGTGGCTACAAAGTCATTGACTAACATGGCATAGAAGTAAAAGAGATATTATTCAAACTCTGTTGATTGTAATTGGTATATGAATTGAATTAATTTATTACTGAAAACCTAGCAAAAAAATTGTCAGTATTAAGAGAAACTGAAGTTAGGATAACTAGAATGACTTGGAAAATGCTTAAAGGAAAGTAAAAATATGGTAATAATATGGTAATAATGATCACAGCGCTCATGCAAAAGTCTGACATATGCTGAGAGCAGTGTCACTAGGTCAACGTGAGAGCAGCATGTACATAGAACACAGTGGATAGGGACAGATAAGGGCTATCACCTGCAGCCATCATCTCCTGCATCTTCAAAAAGTAACTACTTGACAGTCTCTTTAGAATCTGCTAACTCACGGAAACGTTATAGACTAAACTTCTTACCTGGAAAGTGTACGTGCCTAAGGTTATTCCTAAAGTTTTTGAAGCAGATCCAACAGCAGGTAGACTTTTGAGACTTTTGTGCTTGTCAGGGTGATATGAGGGGCACTCACACCATGATGGAGAAGACAAAATGAGCGCTCTCACCAACAGTTTGGTAACCAATTTGAGAAAATATGATTTAGAGAACTCGTAAGTTAGAGAGTTTGTGAATTAGTGAAATAATAAATTAGTGAGTTCATGTGTTGGACCAGTCTGTACAAAGATGATTCCACCAATGTGTGATGTCTTTGCATGTTTTTGTGGGGTTTTCTTAGGCAGAGTATTTCAGTTTTTTATGTTTTTTTCTACTGAGGTCATAAGCTCGTAAAATAAATTTTAATTCACAAAGTACGCTGTGCCGTAAATTTGGGAGAACCAAAAAGACCATGCAGACTATCATATGCAGATTATCACAATTCCATATGAAAATGAAAAGATAGTGATTTCAAGACTTTTCAATGCACAGCCAAAGATGATTCTGTTTATTTTTTTCCACAGTTATAAATCATAAAAATATTAAACCATATGGTATATTTTTAAGCTGTTTATGTTGTTTCCAAACATTGTATTCCTTACATGTGTCATAACTAAAAATAAGCCAAAAATGGCCTGAAGAGACAAATAATGTAAATTATTTACTTCCTGTTGGAAGTTATGTGATAATTTTTTCTCCTATTTATATTTCTCTAGCTTCCTTTTAATATAAAAATATCAATACAAATCTAATTTATTTCCAAATCCTGCTTTATTTACTTCTCATGTCCAGTAACTAAAAACACTTATGCTATGAAAATAATAAAAAACAAAGTTATGTTTCTAACTTCCCAAAAATAAATATTTATGGGTTTCTGAGGTTTTGTTTCAGTGAGGGGTTTTTTGGGTTTTTTTGTCCAAACATGAAATCTTAGAAGTGTCTGAAAGAAAACGGTTTTCTTACCGCATCAATTCAGACAGTATGGATTGTTAAGTGAATCTATGAGATCAAATGAAATCACAATTCATTAATACCCTGATACACACGATTAAAATTATTCAACCATGTCTTCCTTCTGTAATGTATCCTCAGCCTGAATTTTTGAAGTGTAAGAGACAATGTGAGGCCTAAATCCTAATTTCCAGGTTCTTTAGTTTTCAAAGTTCCTAAAGGACAAGAATGTTTTAATCAAAAAAAAGATAGAACTGAAAGAGAAAAAACCCAAAATATTTAGACCGGTTGAGAGGAAGCAGTAAAGAGAGGAGTGCTGAGTAGTCTTCTACGTTTCCTATAGGACCAAATATATAATCTTGGGAAAACTGAGTGTCATTATTTTCCTCATTATTTCATTATGCTATAAACACCTTTGCCTTTAAAACAAATAAATAAATTAAATCTCAGGAGATGTTAAAAACTCCAGAGGCGGTAAAAAGAGTAGGATCAAATATCAGTAAGCACTTGATAGTAGAACCTATGCAAAAATGGAGTAAATGGAGTCAGACCTCATGTTTGAATTGATCAACACTAAATGATGAGAGAGAATAATGTGACAGAGAGAGACCCACATTTCAACTTGTCTTTCTATTGAAAAATCCATAAATAAGGTTTGTTAACTACTCTATCAGACCTAAAAAGTTCAATACCAGAAAGTAACTTCAGGAAAGTGGCATTTCTGCAGGGAAAATTGCATTTTACTATTATATAAAACTTTGTGACAGACAAGGTGTTCCTGAAGTACCCCCAGAAAGTACATTATTGTATTAGCTGTCCATGTATAGCTAAATTCCTAGGAGAAAAGGTAAAGGATGAGCACAGTAAAGATAGTACTGAAAGGCAATAAACCACAGAGGGAGTAATAAGTGAAAGGAGGACTCAGAAATGGCTTAATCTTTTTTCTGATTTAGACAGACTATCCAGAAACCAAAGGAAATGAAAACAATTACCATAATGCTGGAATAAGCATTTTACACTACACAACAGTACTAAGTATGCTGCTACCTGATATTCCAGTATTCATTGTAATAAACAAAAATTCTCTGACTCCAGAGGAAGAATTCTTTCTATTACTAACATAGTTTGCTTCTCCTGAAGGTTTTAATAATTCACATGAAGACATGTAGGTTAAAAGTACATATCTATAACTTATAATTTTACAAAAAGAAACATGAACTAGCCTTTTTTCAAGTAGAAAAAAAAAGTGGCCCTGAGGGTGGCCATGACAGTCCCATTGCCACTTTATTCTCATTTGCTATCCTTTCCCATAACTTACTCCTTTGAAATAAGATTTACAATTCCAAATGGAAGCAGTCCTGCTCATTTTAGAGAAAATAAAATCTCTGGTGTTACAGAAACTCTTTTGAATCAAAGGCATGCTATGTAGAAGTCTTGAGTAAGATGCTCTGAGCAAGGTGTATGGATCAGATGATCTCAGAGGTCCCCTCTAACCTCAGTTGTTCCATGATTGAGCAGTGTGATTTCTGAGGAGGTCTGCCTGTTACTTCCAGTTATTGCCATAACAATCAGGAATTGAGAGGAAATGAAGATAACAAATTGTGAACCTCCGAATATATAACTTTTAGCCAAATGGTTCACAAAACACTGTGTAAGTAGAGAAGGTCATAAGAAATAAACCAGTTTTGAGACAACACTGAACTACCTAGAAGCAGCAATTGTGCACTGTTGTCAAGAACCAGCTGTAAGGCACATGGAAAAAGAAGAAAGAAGGCTTTATCCCCATAAATCTGTTCTGCCAACAGACACTGAGAACATGAGAGCAGTGTGTGTGAAAGAAAAGGGTGAACAAGATAATCAAGTCTTTTCAGATACTTCCCAGGCTGAAGGTCAGTTCTATGGACAGGTGGAAACAATCCAAAAAAAAAAATATGCCTGTAATAGCAACAATTAGTGACATGCAGGAAGCATTTACTTCTCCATGAAAAATTTTTTATTTGGACTGATGCCTTTATTGAAATTAATACCTTTACTTTAATTCATCTAACCACGAGATATTATATATTTCTCTCAATGTGTGAGTTGCTTCTGTAAAATATAGTAGCAACTTTCTATGCTAATAGAACTTGACCACAGAAAAGGTAAAACTAGCATGGCTAAAAGCTTTTAAGACTGACCATTTTTTTTCTTTCCAGTGAACAAAAACACCCCTAGGTAAAGACAATTTGTTCTACTGAGTTACATTAAGACATAAGGTGCCAATAATTAAAAGAAGTAAATTAGGACAAGAATTCTTTCACAGCAAATCTTACATTATTGTTGCCACTGGTGGGTGGTCTTAAAGGTTCTTACTCAAAATGAAATGCTGTAACTCTCTTTGAAAAGAGATGCACCAGAAAAGAACTTGGTCCACTTGTCTATGGTCCTATGTACTGTTTTTCCTTTTTCATTTTGACCATTTTCTCCCCATGTCTCAATATTCACTTTAAGGTAAAATCCTCTTCACTGTTTCAATTAGTTTTAAAACACAGGAAACAGTCACAAGTATTGAGGCCATGCTGCTGAGAACACAGTTGCATTGGGCAGGGCACGTCTCCAGGATGAAGGACCACCACCTCCCTAAGATCCGGCTTTATGGTGAACTTGCCACTGGCCGCCGCAAGAGAGGAGCCCCAAAAAGAAGATACAAGGACTGCCTGAAACAACATCTCAGCCTTGGCCATATTGATCAACAGAACTGGTCTACTCTGGCCTCCAATCGGGAGGTCTGGAGACACACTATCTATAACACTGCTGATGCTTTTGAGAAAGCACGCAGGATCACCCTTGAGGAGAAAAGACAACGGAGAAAATCATGCCTTGCAGAATATACCGTCTAAGGAGTCTTTCTGCTGTGCCTTTTGCAACCGGTGATGCCTTTCTCGTATTGGCCTTTTTAGCCACCAACGCGCTTGCAACAAACATGGGTAGAGCCCTTCCAAATCTTCGTTCATGAAGCCTAGCCATGAATATCTTACATAATATTATACAGACTATATACACTGTGTACATACTATATATACATACTGTAGACATACACATTCATAAAAAAAACAACTTGGAAGGTAGTCAGATTCCAGTAAATGTAAACAGATGTTACTCTTTCTTTCCTTTTTTTATCTGCCACTTTCAATAAACTCTAACCAGTTCAGATACTATTTCTTCAGGATGAGAACCAGTATTATATACTTATTCTGATTTAGGTCTATTTGTTAATGCAAGCTATTATCCTTGCAACAACTTTCAAGTCTTTTGCAGAGACAAGCTGATATTTCTTCACATCTTTGAAGTTGTATTCAAATGCTTAGGGTTAAATATGAGTAATATAAATATTTATACATAGAGATGTTGTCATTTACTACCCACAAAGCCAAAAGAAGCTCTGAAGTACTGATTTAAACATAATTTATAGTAACTTCATTTCCTCAAGAATTTTTCATTTGATTACAAACTTTCATAATATATCAACTATAATTTTTATACATTTGAGTCTGTAGAATTGATACTCATTCCTCAGTCACTACATATGAAAAAATATATTGTATAATCAGATTACACAGGGAGGGATGGGAGTGTGTATGAAACGAACAATTTTCCCAGACAGTCTCAAACAGAATTAAGTATTAAGCAAAAGCTAAACCAAGCGTAATCTGATTTAATTATGTAGCTATGGCTTTTGAGACACAACAATTTTCTTGGTTAGCTCCCCTTTGAGATTATCACCTTTTATTAGGATATGATCAATGAAAAAAAGAGGCAAAATAAATTTTCTAGGTAATTAGGATATGTATGAACTGTCAAATTTTTAGATCTTTTCAGGGTAACCAACTTACAAACAGGTCTACAAAACCTAGTGTAAACTTCTGAACTAAACAAGTAGCCAAGTCCCCTAAATTCCAATCTAGTCTCATTGATTCTGTGTGGAGATTGGTATTTGTATGGAATACATTGTCTGAATGACGCTCTGTGTGACTATTAGGAATGACAAGCTATGAATAATAATCTGAATAATAACTTCAACTGATAATGAATTCAGAGTGTATTTAATATAAGATTATGGTTAATTCATACAAATTAATTCATATCAGTTAAACATCTGGTCTAATAGGAATCTCCTGAATAGCATAGGGATGTTTCATTAGTACAATAGTATTTGTACTCAAACTTGAAACAGATATTGCTTCAGAAAATAGTGTTCGTATTAGTTAATACTATTTCACTATACTGAAACACACCTTTTTAATGCTTATGTATAAAGATGCAAGTGAACTCTGTGTGATTTATGAAAACACCTATAGGTATCCTACTTTTCAGGTACAATGAGAGTTGCTCTTAATCACATTAAAATGGTATCTGTTTTTTTGTTTGGTTTGGTTTTGGTTTTCAGAAGTTCCACAGCCAAGGCAAAGAATAACCAAGTGCATGAGTCTTACTCCTGTTTCCATAGAAAGCAGAGTAAGTTAGTTTCAGTGACAATTTTTTACCCATATTGAAATGAACTGCAGTGCTAAAGGGGTCCTAGACCCTTTACAGGGAACAAGGAAGCTAAGAAAGGTAACTTTTTGCACCACTCAGCTCAGTTACAACAAAGCCAGTTGTCAGTCAACAACAGAGAATCTGAAAAGTCTCCACACAATCCAAGTTGTCAGTATGTTATTACAGAATATGCAACTCAGTCAGCACACACATGCACTATCTTGCTTAAACTGACAGACAGCCCTTCAACATGACATAGAAGAGCATCTTTCATAGATTTGCTTTGAGATTTTCAGAAAGAGGGAAGACTCCAGAAATATAGGGAAATAATATTCAAGACATACATCCTCCACAAGATTAGACTTGCCTTTGAGCATGTGATTCATAATTGGTTTTAGAAGACTTTAAAATTTGCAAGCATTAAAGCCAGTTGTAAGTTAAAAGTTAAAGAAGACAAGAAATCTAAACCCATCTCATTCAGCTGGTCATTTTCATCCAGTGTGTTTGTTAAAAAAATTAAGATACATTAGACATCAATATTTGCAAGTAAGCTATAAATAAAACTTACAACACACTATTTAGACCAAAGATAATTTTATCATGTTGCACTCTCAATGGTTAAATTCCTTTCCCAATTATTGATAATATTAGCATTCTACTATTTACTGGTTTTTTAATTTATGTTTAAAAGCCAAATTAATCTCTTTGTGAGAACAGCTGTAAGTTCTTATTGGGTATAGTTGAGGAGGCTCAGCTACCTCCAAATGGTGCTGAGGACTTAGATCTGTGGGGTTTTTTTCTCACATTTTTCAGATTGGGCTACAGATCAGGTCAACTGTTCTTTCATTCTCAAAATGAAGTTGAAAAAGGCAACTGAAGACAGACATTATCCAGTCTGAAGAGCACTTTACCGAACAGGGAAATGTTCAGACACAATATTAAAACCTGTCAATCCAAACAGTAGAGGTCACTTAAATGTAGAGAAGCTTCATAATTTAGACAAAAATGATGACAATTTTATTTTCTAGAGTTTATACCACATTTCTAACAACTTCTTCTATGTTACTCAGTTGGAAAGATTGTTTGAATTGGACAGCTTCACTTTCATTTACAGGTGTTTTTTGCTTACTAACAAAACAACATTTAGGTGGATTGTTTTTGTTTTTTTTTTTCCAATGTGTGAAGATGTAATGGCATATCCCTGAAAAAGTTAAGTTTCTAGTCCTCACTTATACACTGAGAAATTCTTCAGGTTTTTAAAACTCTTGAGAGTGTCTTAAAACCAGATGCTTTATGGTATGAGAGATCAGGAATTGTCTTGTTAGAGTTGAAATCATTTATGATGATTTCTTATTCAAAACATGACCTACTTTCAAAAAGAAATTTCATAACACTGGGAGTTGGGAAAACTAATCACAGATATCTGAAACTTTGTCTCAGATGACAACATAAAACATTCCAATGCTTATTAGGACACAAAACAATTTTTCTTCAAAACACTGCTCAGTCTGGAAACAAGTGATTTTCCCACCCACATAAGTAGACAAGTAAGAATGCTGATGAATATTGTGCTTTCTCTGGGTCAGAGTATATCCCTTTGACTTGTTCAACTACTCTGATATAGTTGCATCAGAATTAACAATTTTGTACTGCAGAGATGTTCTCAGTTTTATCAGAACAGATTCAGAAGCCATCTCTTCTATAATTATGTCTCTGAAGAATATTCTTTACATATAGATTGTTATTTGGACATTTAAATGTAATTATTCTTGATTTTTCTTAAATATTTTAGTATTTTAACACCATCTTATGTCTTTCAACAGCTCAAGAACTCCTTTAATACTGCAAGGTACCATCCTGTGTTGATTCCAAATTCAGTAAGTCTTCTCTGAGGGAAAATAACTTAAAAAATAATTCATATTGTCACTTTAACCATGATTTCAGAATTATTAGACTAGTCACATAAAATAAATCACAAAGTACCTTCTGTTGCATCCTGGAGGTCACTTAAATGCATAGAGAAGAATCTCTATTTTTTCTCTCAGTGACCACTCACTGTAGGACAATGAGTACTCCCAATAAAAGTGAAGAAATTAATTGTATAAGTGGTGGTTATTCAGCCTGACTCTTTCTGCATACATTCTTTTGAATATTGTCCTTTAGACAGAAGGGAAGCTGGCATCCTTTTGCCAACATGGATACCCACAAAAGTTATGGAGAAAACTTCAAGTCAACTGAAAATACATTTTAAAAAAATAATCAAAACAATAGGAACTTTCATGGCATTTCCTCCCTGGTATTCCTCCAGTAATGTGATTGACATTAAATAAGACTGCATTTGGCATAAACAGAGTCTCATTTAACCCAATGTAAATCAGACCGAGATTACTTAAATCAGCATGAGCAGAGAATCAAGCTGTTCAGGGAGGATCATTTTCACAATAAACCAGTCTATTAAAGATTATTGGTTGGATTAATAAGGGAATAGGAGCAAAAGCAGCCTTTGCTTAGAGACCTGCTTTTTCAAAGGAAAGATGAATATGGTTTCTAGCAGCTTTAACAAGAAATTAATACCAAGATAATGCAGTTACCATATATTGATACACCTGTATGTTATCCCAATTAAATAAAAAGTAAACCTCTGTTGTACAATTCTATTAATACCACATTAAAATACCCAGGGGGAAGAAAATGGGGTTTCTAACTATGTGGAAAAAAAACCAAATAAAGGTCTCTACAAATGAAATGGACTATTAATAACAGTAAAACTATTATTTAGAAGCTAATTTGCCTAATTTTTTAGTCATATAGAAAACTTACCAGACATCATTGTAACTGCAATAAATATCTCTTTGTTTGGGGATGCAGGAAAATCTTTGACATTAAAGTAGCCCTTACAAGATTGTGAGATTAATGTTCAGTTTTCAATTAGCACTGTAACTCACTGATTTAAGGGGAGTGGAAGATTCAAAGCTGAGAAAGAAGTGCAGAATAAGAGCAAGGAAGCTAGTGAATACAAAATCATTAAAGAGGATGGACACCAAGAGTTTACAGGATATAGAAAGAAAGTGATATTTAAATAAAAATAATACATACTTCATTGTAAGAATATTTTATAGGTGACAAAAATCTATATTTGCACTAGAAGATTTCCTGATAGCATGTTGCCTTAAATGTCCATATGTTCTTGTTAACTATATATATAGGAAAAGGTTAAAATAATACTTGTTTAATAAAAGTGGAAATAGATATGCATTTTTATTCTGAAAAACTACTTGGAAAAGAAAAATTTATCTTTCTTTTTGTTAAATTTAGCAGATTCTGATGGAATAAAGGCTATCAATATAGAATTGTTATTGTGGGTAACGCTTGTCTCTTCTACTCACAGAAGAGTCAGCTAGTAGAATATATAAGAAAAAATTCTTTATTTGAGGGTGATGAGGAACTGGAAAAGGTTGCCTTGAGAAGCTGTGGATGCCCCATCCCTGGAAATGTTCAAGGCCAGGTTGGATGGGGCCCTGAGCAGCCCCATCTACTGGGAATTGTCTCTGCCTGTATCACGGGGCTTGGAACTAGATAATCTTTAAGGTCCCTTCCGACCCAAACCATTCTGTGAATCTATGATTCCATGAATATCAGATTGATACACTTTAAACAAAACCAAGATCTACCCCTCTTGGTGTTGAAGTCAATGAGTGTTTTAAGTCTGTTCATTACCAGCTGCTTTAGAATATTCATTTTCAAGAGATTTTTTTTTCAGATCTACCAAAGATTGATATTAGTACTTTATATTTAAGGTGAAAGAGTGGTCTCAATTCAAAATTTCTACATACAAATACATAAAAAAAGACAGACACCTAATTTCACATTTTTCACTAGTTTTTTGTAGATGTCTCTGGAAGCGATACAATAGTTCTATAAGTGATGCCTTACATATTTTGGAAATCTATCTATCCTTATTTTATTACTCAAAGAACTACATTCAGAAACTCAAAAGTAATTTTTCTAGCATAGGTAGTCTAAAACAAAGCTAGGATTCTAGCCATAGGACTGTTTATAACAGAGTCTGTTTCATAAAGGGGTTTTAAGAATCAGTGAGAACTATGATAAATAAAATGCAACTATCTACATAGTCTGTAGGAAGCCTATTAGTACTATTTGTTATATATACTTACTGAACTCATCAACATTAATTTTGGAATTCGACCCTTGTTCTCATTGGTGATGGATCATCCATAGTCTCATACCATCTCCGTTACTTGACTTTGAAAAAAATGACGAACTAAATATCTCTGTCCAACATCAACAAATCAGAGTCTGAATAAACATGTTTCATTGCATTAGAATAATATCATATAGCTAAAAACACACTTCTTTCTTATCCCATCTTCAGATATTTTCTGAAGGAAGTCAGGATTATACAACTCAATAATGAGTTTTAAAACTTATGAAAATAGAAACACTGTGTAAGCACTGCCTTCTAAATAAAAATTGCAGTATGAACTTCTGCAAACTCCTAACAGTATTCTCACTACACTTATGTCCATAATACTGATACTTATTAAAAGGTAACAAAGATTTACCAATTTATGCTATTGCAGATGTATTTCACAAAGTAATTTAAAAAAAGGGTTTTAGTATTAAAAGAGTATAATCCTTGAAATTTCTGCATTTATACTAATTTATAAATGAAAAATAAGAAATAACTTTGAAAAATTTGAAAATTTACCTGATTAAGTAAGGATTTGAAGAACAAGCTATATTTAATGGGGTGTTAAAACTAATACTACCTAATAGTAGCCAAAAAGACAGAAGAGAAAAATCTAGTTAAATATAACTTAGCAACATACTTCCAACACTGTTTTCTGATCTTCAGTACTTTTGCTGGGTATTTCAGATTATTTTCCTCCTTACCATCAGCATGGTAGTAACTCATGCTTTGTCCCTGAAGAGAAATATAGAAATTAAACATTAAACCCACAAGCTTAAGACCCCTTACCCTCTGAGTTTTCTGGGCTCCTCTTGCTTCTCAGTGTTACAGACACATGTGTAAACAACTGAATTTCCTGCATCCTTTTCTCATCTGCACTGTACTGGGACTTGGCCAATTGGATTATTTACAGCATTAAGGTCACTCCACAGTAACTTGAAAAAGATTCTCATTGGTCAGACATTATCAAAACTAAAACCACATTTTTCTTTTAAGTAAAGTCATTTACAGAAAATAAAACTTTTTGACATACTGTTCTTCATTGAGCATTACATATTCATTTTTTTTGCCCCTCCTCCCCTTTCTAGACTGAAGACTGTGAACCCAGTACCCCAAACATTATGTATAAAATGATATTAGTTATTTGAATCACAGTACTTAATCAGAGGTATTAGTACCCAACCAAATTGAGTGGATTCTTAAACCACTACTTGCTCTTAGTATACCTCCTGAGTTTTCAATATCTTACAATAAGACTAAGTTTTTAGTCAGCTAGATGATATATGGTCCTGCAAATACATGCATTTTCATAATTAACTCAGCAGTTAGGGCTGTTGGACATTATTATGAAAAACTCTAGATTATGAGAGATACGAAAAGACAATGGTGAGGAAACTTGGAAAAATATAGACTTTGAAAAGCTCATTTCTCATTAAAATTTACAGAACACTGACAACTCCTATGTCACAATCTCAGATGGAGAAGCCAGATTTCCTTTCTCATAGCTTTGAGGGACATAGCTCTACTTCTGTATTAACATCACACTTTTAGCAGCAATATAGCAGGTAGTCTTTTTGTCATGAATGGTAGCTATAGCTACAGGACTCCTCTCTTGTTTGATACTTGGACTTTTTAATTTTTTTTTTAAATTTGTTTTCAGGAAATGAACAAGCAAATCCTCCCACTCTCATCAATTACATGGGTATTCTGTGACTCCCATGACTCACAAAATCTATTCCACTGTCAAGTGACAAAAGACATTCATTAAAATAAGTATAACAAAACAAACCCAAAAAAACTAAACCCAAACCCACCTAGACATATATTAAAAATACCCCAAAAACAAAAAGCCTCAAACCAAAGCAAAAATCCCCCAAAAACCTAAGGAAAAAAACTACTCCAAACAAAACAACCCCAAAGTAAAGCAAAAAAAAAAACAAACCCAACCTAAACCCCACAATAAAACTAAACCACAAGTCTGTATCAAATTAAAAAGAAACAAACAAACAAAAAAAGACCACAAACAAAAAAAACCCCTCAATCCAACAAAACCCAAATCCAAAAATTAAAATAAAGCAATAGCTGTTTTATGCCTCTTCCATGGTTTCTTTAACAACTACATAGATTTCATATCCCACTAGAATACTCTCTGGCTACATTCCATTATCCCTACTTTAGGAAATCTCTTCACATTTTAGAAATCAAGTTATACACACATCATAACTTAGACATTATGTTATTCACTTGTAACTATTCACATTTAAATCCATTTATGACATTCATTTTCCACCATTTTTCACTTACTGCAATCTCTGAATGCAGAGGGCAGTTGGCCTGGAACAGGCTCCCCAGGGAAGTGGTCAGGGCACCAAGCCCAGCAGAGCTCAAGAAGCATTTGGATAATACTCTCAGGCACGTGGTATGACTCTTGGGGATGGTCCTGCGCAGGGCTAAGGGTTGGACTCCATGATCCTTGTGGATCCCTTCTAACTCAGCATATTCTGTGACTCTGTGAACCAAAACTCAGCTTCTATTCTGTTACATTCTGTAGTCATCACCAATTCTTGGAGGAATCTTGATTTTGTATCATTGTAAAAGATGCATTCAAATTTAATTAAGAAATTATACTTTCAGTTGGGGAAGTTACTATATGAATTGGGTTTTCTA